AGGCCTGTGAAGCAAAGGTGTTTGCACACTACTATCTCCTGATAGGCTGTGTCCTCACTCACTGCACAGCCTGGCTCAGTGACTCTGGGCAGCATCTGCAGCATCAGTCTTTGCATGGCGTTCCACACATCGAGGATTCAGCTGGCTTTCACCTCCATCTGGTGAGACTGGTTCACTGACAGAACTAAAGAGACGAAATAGAACCAGGCTCCAAAATCTGAGCAAATGCCCTTAACATACTGAACAGTGGTATAGCTATAAAATCCTAGTGTCAAAGTCACACTGGGTATCTGCTGTAATAATGAAAATATAGATCAATGAGGCATCAAATTGTGTATACAATGACAGGAAATGTTGAATAGAGATGGTAGGACCTTCAAAATCAAAATTGTCCTATCTCCTTAATTCAAGGTGCAGTTCTCTGTGATGTCAAGGCATGCATTTCTTTCTAGACCTGGAACTTTCTGAAAGACGCTGATCCTTCTTGGATGTATTCTAACAGCTCAGATGGATATATCTCCAGCTATTGGGCATTTCAGACTCAGCTCCATATTTTCATGTCTTGTCCAAACATCCAAATGGGAAATACTAAAACTCACAAATTTACAATCAGATTGATAAAAGTCTTTTCTAATACTACAAAAAATCCCACAGTTTTTTTTGGGGGGGAGGGGGCTAATTATACATATACATTTGAGATAATTTTCCAGAGTGCACAAGAGATTCCGGTAAGACAATAGAGATGATTACTTCATAGCTTAATATATTTGTCAGTAGTCCAAGATTCTCTGTCAAGAGCAATCTGAACAAAGACATTCTATGTAGAAAGAGGAGATGAGCCAAATAAATAACAAACTAATTTTAGGATTTGGGGTCTAATGTAGGATCCTGTGTTTTCCCTTTACACACACTAGACAGGCATGATTAAAAGCCTCATATTTACATAAGCAAAAACACAAATTATTTCAAAATCTGTCAAACCTAAAGTATGGACAGATTTCCACTAACAATTTGGACAAATCAGTCACATTCTAGTTAGTTCATTAGTGATCTAATCAAGGAGTATCAGATCAAAAGACTTTTTCTTGTTTGTTTTTAGACAGGGTCTTTCTCTAGCCCCAGCTGGGCCTGACACTTGCTATAGAGATCGGGCTGGCCTCAGTCTCACAGAGATCCACCTCCCCTGCCTCTTGAGTACTGGGATAAAAGGCACGTGCCACCATACCCAGCTCGAAAGACCTTTTTAAAAAAGCTAGATACATGTTAGATCTCTTAGCTCAGAATATTTTTGAAAAAATGTGCAGAAATAGAAAAAGTCACATCCTTAATGTTTTTAAATATAAGGTTGTCCTTAAATTTAACTTTCAATGTCACAGGCCAACCATATCCTCTTTTACTAACATTATTGAACATTTTACAACCATGTTGGAGCTGGAGAGATACTCAGGAACACCAGCTACTCTTGTAGAGGACCTGTGTTTGGTTCCCAACACCCACGTGGCAGCTAACAACTGCCCTAAGTCCAGTTCCAGGGGATCTGATGCCCTCTTCTGACCTTTTTGGGCATTGCACAACATGGATGCATACACAACACAGGTAACAATACACTTATACACATGAAAATAATAAATAAATGAATAAAACATAAAAAATTTTTACAACAGTTTATGAAAGTCTGAAAACCCTTTTTGTTTTTATAGATTACGTCATAATAGACACAATTAAAATAGTAAGTTCCCAAATAGTATTAATGATGCATTTTCTTTTCTCCATAGCAAGTACATTTTGCTCCTAAGAGATTTTTTTTAACACATAAGGGAAGTGAAAAGGAGGGAGATGAAAGGACTTAATGAAGGATACATATTTGACTTGTGATTATAAAATAATTGCTATATCAATTTTGAGCTTATATGGAGATACTGGGTTTTGAAATGAATAAAAAGCAAATTATATTTATGTTAGTATTCAAGGTTACCTCTTTGGTACAGAACTAAAAGTTACTATTATGCCATGAAAATAGTGAAGCTTATGTTAAGGAATCTCATATGTGTACTAGATATATATTTGTAGAATAACTTTCAAAGTACAGCTTAAATTCCCCAAAAGACTTTCACAAACAAGCTCAAGATGCCTTTTCCTGCCTCATTCTCTTCCTCTACTACATCCTAACCCCATCCATCAAAGGAAGGGCCAATAAGAATAGTCAAGTTCGGGGCTGGAGATGGCTCAGTGGTTAAGAACATTGATTGTTCTTGCAGAAGACCCAGGTTCGAATCCTAGCACTCACCTGGCAGCTAACAACTATCCATAACTCCAGTTCCAGGGGATCCAACAGCCTCTTCTGTCCTCCATGGGCATTATATGACATGGGTGCACTTACCTACATGCAGGCAATACACTCATACACATAAAAAATAATAAAATATTTTTTAAAAAAGAATAGTCAAGTTCAATCACCATCATTGGATTTCTGGGTGAAAAGTTTTTTTGGGGGAGGTGGACGTTTCGGCTGCCTTATGTTGGATTATTCCTCAGGAGCTGTGGATGAGCCAAGATGGTCTTTTCACTGGTGCACTGTTCTCCATGTGCACCTTTCTTTGCTCTGGGAGGTGGAGAGGCAACACTGCCTTAAGAAAAGTAGGATTGGGATGTGAGCATAGGAGAAAGAGAGAAAGGCTGAAGACTTGAATCTGGTTTAGTCCACAGACCACTTTAGGATCTATCAACCAAAGCTCCAGCAAATAATAATGTATATGTATTTACCTGGACTTTTCCTCTGTGCATTTCTCAATGTCAGGGACTTTGTAAGAGCAAAGATAAACATGGTAAGAAAATCAGCAAGATTTCTGGGTGCTGGGTTATGTCTGTCTTTGACTTCTTGGCTAAGATTTTGAGGCTATGCCTTTCTTTTTGCTGGAACAAAGGTTTACAGGTACTTTAAACTGAGAGAGCAAAGTAAGGATCAGAATTCCAAAAGTGTAGTCAGTCAGAGGGCAATTTGAAAGCAGCTTGTTCATTTTCTCCTTAGGATAATAGCAAGGAATGATCAATTATTAACTTAAGATTCTTAGTCCTCTGGCCACTGTATCTTCTTTCAAGATCTTGTACTGTTTAAAAAACTTGAGACAATTTTGACACACCTGATCCCTCTGACCCCTACTATATGAGAGATGAGCATAAAGAAGTTTCTTTATCGTCAAGGCCCATGAAATTACCCATGAAGCCTATAAAGTTCATAATTCTGGTGATCTTTAAATCGCACATAAGGAAGACCAAAAATTCTGTAATGAAGACGCACTTGTGTGTTATGAAATAAAGCTAACGGTGAACTGATTTGTTAACAATTGACATGAAAAAAAATGACTTAATGGTCTTAAGACAAAGTATGCCCTTCAAATGTTCTAAAATTTAGCATGTAACATTATAAAATCCTTGAAAGGAAATCACTGATAACAGCCTGTGGCTTTTTGTCACTGTGAGCAAACACCTGAGATAACATTAAAGGGCAGAGACTTTTCTGACTCACAGCTTCAGATGTCTCAGTCTAGTCAGTTGGTTCCATTGGTTTCAAGCCCAGGGCAAGAAATCCAGGCACAGTGTCAGGTATCACAGGTTCTTGCCGTATATGGAACTAAAACATCCTTCTCCAGTGAGCAAGGACAGTGGGAAGTCTCTTGTTTCTAGCAGAGGAATGCCTAGCACCAGTCAAGATACAGACCCCCCCAAAAGGGCTATACGGAACTGACATTATTGACCTTCAAACACTGACTACTTCCTTAAGGCCAACAAGAAGGAAGCTGAGCGTGTAGTTCAGAGTTGACTACAATACATCTCCTAAATGTGACCAGCACAAAGAATGATGCTTCACAGAATGAAATAGAAGAAACCTCAGCACCAGGTGATGCCAGCTAATTATGGAATTCAAAGTACTTCAGAATCTTCAAAGTACCAAAATAAGGAGGTATAACATCTTCATGTCTCTTTATAAGCTGTGCACTTTCCTAATAACTCTAAAACTTCAGAAAGGACCAAAAAAATCACAGGTAATACTTATAAAGGTAAATAAGAATCATGAACAAAGTTTCCCATAAACTGAACTTACCTTGTTCTTTATTGAAATGGAATATTCTCCCTTTCACCAACAGATTGATCAGTCTATGCAGTTTAATGTAGGAAATAGTGCTTTGTTTGTCCCTAATTGCCTAGTATATTTTGGTTTAAAATCCAATGGCTGAGGTGTAGCTGTCTGTGCTCAATTTTAAATCTGAAATATATAAACAATTTTTATCTTTAAAACGTATTGTCTTTCTGCACAGCCCTGAAGTACAAGTGGTTTCATAAGGGTTTCCCAATTACTGAGATAATATTTTGCATTTCCTTTACTCTTAAATGTGAGAGCACACGTGCTTTTATCTCATTCTCAAAACCAAAGCTTCAAAATACCGGTTTTGAGATAGACACATTTTAGATATTTTTCAAAATGTTTTGCGTGAAAAACGTCATTCATTGTAGCACAAGAATCTAAATCACATCTTCCTAAGGAAACAAAGTTCCAGAAGTTTACAGGATTTGTCCAATGGATGTAAATCTAGTTTTAAAGGGATGAGAAGAAAGGAGTAGACTGTTATTCCACACAGATCCACATGCAGTTCTGAACCCCTTGGTTCTGTCAGGGATCTCAGCAAAGAAATGGATGCTGCCGTGAAAGTCATCCTGCTGAAAACAGAGGTGAGCGCAAGTAAAGGAGTGAGAGCAGACACCGGTTCGAGGCGTTTTACCAAGGATTGTGCTATGACAGATCGCAAGATGAATTCTTATAGTTGGCAAGTTTTTCTGGCCTTGTTTCTGATTACTGCTTGAACAAAGTCATGTAGAATGTAGTCCATGCTTCTATGAAACAACATGGTGTTGGGTACCAGGTTGGGATTATTTAGGGTCACCAAATAACAGGATTCAAAAATAAGTAAAACAGCTGAAAAAATCCAACAGTCTGGTCTAACCTGGGATGCTCTGTCTCCTCACAGCCAATGCTCCATCAGGCGACTTTGTCTGGCTGGCGGATTTAGTGTAGGGACTCTCATCTGCAAAGGGACAATGAAGGGATTGGTTAATTTCCATCCAGTTTCTAGCGCAGTGGAGATCTTTAATGGACTGCAATCCTTCTTCCAGAAAGAGGTGATAAGGGACAGGAGAAAGAGTTGGTGACCAGTCCTAAACTTGGGTGAGGTATGGAATGAGTCTGGAAATGTTCTGAACATGTTTCTTCCCAATAAAAGAGGGACAAAGTTCTCCTAGACCTCTCAGAATAAATAAGGATCAAAAGCTAGAATGCACATGAGGATCTTATGAAATGGTTAAGAAGCATGCTGTGTGGCAGAGCAATCATTCGCCCGTCATCTACATTCACCAAGAAGTATCAGTGAGTGTGTGTAATGGAAAGGGCAAAGAAGGAACAAAATGGCTCAGTGGGCACTAAGAATAATCAGGCAGAAGAGCAAAGGAAAGGAGATATAGTGTTTCAGCTAAGCAGATGACAGTATTAGTACTGCAGAGAATAAAGACAAACAGAGTTAGTAGGTCCCTCTTGGGAATGTGAACTGGCATCGAGAGTAAAGCAGAGGGTTAACGTCATTCAGAGGTAAGAAAGGTTAAGAAAAGGTAAGAGGTTAAGGAAAGGGAAAGAAGACACGTACTGCAACAAGCTGATTAGTTTTGCTTTAGAATGAGAAGAAAATAACTTGCACAATAATAAAGAGAGCAACTGAAAGACAGAAGGTCCAAAGCTTTGTGTATTTGTGAGAGTTGGAGAAGAGGCTGAATGGCTAAAACACTAGGGGTCAAGAGCATAGAGGAAAGGGGACCATCAGATTTTATAAATAAGCGGTTTTTAAGGATTTCATCTGCGTGAAATACAGAAATAGTGATGGGGGAGGCACGCATTAGGGTTAGGATAGGAAGGAGCATTTCTTCCTTGTTTGGATGGAGGCATCTGTAGAAACAGTAAAGGAGATGCAGAGGCAACAACATTAAGGGTTTCAAGAACAGGATTTATATGGCTTGAAGAAAAAGAATGAAAAATAATTGCCTAGTGTACTCAGTCAAGCTATGTGACACAAGGACACATTTTCCCACACGGGAACATGTTTGTTATGGTTGTCATTGTTTTCATAGGAAATCATTAAAGGATTAAAAAGAATCACATTGCACATTAAACAAGCTATTAAATATAACAAGTCCTTAATTCAGCAACAAGGCTTTAACATTTGAGGACTGGGAACATTAGTTCTCCCAACTAAGTGGTGTGTGTTTCAAAAGCGAGGAACCTGTTTCCTCTCTAGGATGTGCTTCTCCTGGAAACGATTCATGATTTCTTCAGAAAATGAACAAGGTCTTTATAAGCAGTGACAAAGGAAAGATTAACACTGTTGTAAACAGAAATTAACTTTAAAATGGCAGTCACGCCACTTCATGTTTAGATGCTATTTATCACACAATTTTTTATATTCTTCCAATCATAAAGAAAGCTAGCGGCTTTCAGGTACTAAAGCAATCAACATCATCATTGCTACTTTTGAAGCAGTATCTTAGGTCTTTGACTCTTCCTGTTGTGAACATAATGTTGAGTATAATTAAAAATCACAGAACAACTCTGAGCATTTTATTGCAAAAGTGTCCACTTGCATACTGAGCATGGTGGCGCACACCTTTAACCCCAGCACTCAGGAGGCAGAGGCAAGCAGATCTTTTTGAGTTCGAGGACAGCCTGGTCTATATAGAAAGTTACAGGTCAGCCTGGGATACATAGTGAGACCCTGTCTGAAAAAACAAAATGAAATAAAAGTGTCCACATGCCCTATACCCACCTCAAGAGCTGGGTGATTTCACAATGTGAGTTAAGCCACAAGGTGATGCACTTCCCTGTTAAAACAGACTGCTTCAGTTGAAAGTCTGAGATTGTTCACATGATTGATTAAAAAATATAGTTCCTTTTATTGTCTGCAACTTGGCCACTGTTGAATTATGATGAAAGAGCAGTGAGTCAAGGGATAACCTCATAACATCGAGGTTCAAGAGTGGCAGTGCAGGAACTTCAGTCTTTCCTCAGTTTTCAATTTGTCAGTCTTACACAGAATTACGGCCCTGGGTTGGGTCATCTTAAAGGCAACCCAGATTTGCCCAGGGAACTCCCAGGTTATCCGCTTTTCATGATCCGTTTTAAAAGAAATTTACCCAGTTTGCATTATAGAAGGTAGTCAACCCTAGTAAATTGTTTTTCTCATTTATATTTGAAAGTAATTTCCTTGATTTAGGGCTGAGATCCTCTGGTTATACACATCCCTAAAAGGTTCGAACTGAATTATAGATGGCCACCTGGCCAGCATCTACAAGACCATTCCCTCACATCTAGCACTGAGCTGAGATGATTATCCAAAAGACAAAAGCTTTTTTGGTCAAAGTATCATATCAGAAAAAAGCTCAATACTGTCTAAGAATGGCTCACTGAAGTCCATCAGGGTGAAAGCTGTAATTCCTGGCAGAAGTGAGACAGAAGCCAGGCAATACTTGGCATGAGCCCTAAAGACAGTAGAGCAAGAGAGAAGCTTGGTACAACTTGACTTAGTTATTAAGAAACTGCCTGAGACTGCCTCATCACTTTGCATGCACACGAGGTATCATGGGCGTTTAGCTATTCATTACAGAATGGACTTCACCTCTTCTGAGGTGATTTAGTAAAACTCAGCTCTTAATTTAAACTTTGTGTAAAATAGTAAGGGAGAAAAAGCACTGAACACTAAGTAGCCAATGATCTATCCTAGGGTACTAAAGCACAAGAAAATCAGAGTATATCTTTAAAATTATTTTAATCTATGAGCACAAAAATAAGTCATTAGGAGTTAGGTTAATTCTATAACTATTTAGTAGAAAACTAGTATTAGGTTTTCCCCTATGCCTTGTGACCTGTCTAGCCTCAGGTTCCTAGGCCTGATAACAGTGTCAGGTATGTGCTCCATCTTATGAAATGAACCTCAAATACAATTAGAAAGTGGTTGGTTACTCCCATAATAGTCATGCTGCTATTGCACTGGTGGCTATAGTTTGCCAGGTCAGTTGTAGTTCACAGGATTCACAGGTGGGTAAGGTTGATGATTAATTTTCTCTTCAGGTATCATATATAGCATGTTCCAGCACTATGCACACTAGCCAGTAGAGATGAAGCTCTGAAGTCAGCACCAGCTTGATTTCTCTTTTTTCTACAGCTCATGTATGTAGTGTCTTCAAGGATAGGGACTACAAACAGAGTATTAAACTGCCTCCTAATGACTTATTGTTATACTCATAGGTTAGTACATCTTACAACTCTCACCAAAGGAGCTTCCTTACACAGCAGATGGTGATTAACATAGAAACCCACAATTGGCCAATGTGCATAGAATAAGAGATTTGCAGAGTGCTTATCCCTGAATAGAACACCTATATCAAACTTTTGCCTTCCAAGGCTCAGGATTCATTTCAGAAGCGGGGACAAGAAGACTATAAGAGCCAGAGATGGTGGATGATGACAAGGAAATAGAGTTTTCCAGGCAGCTGGTCAGTTACTAATATGAACTGCAATGGTGACAGCATGCACAAATCCCATGCAAACTCAAATCAGACAAAATCCCAGCCCAGACATGGAGAAGTAGGTAAGAAACCCCAATTCTATCTGAGGAACTCTAATAAGCAACTGATGGTTGCTGGGAGGGAAAGAGTCAGTCTCTTTCAAGGATATGGCTCTTGATATGTTATGCAGGCTCCAGTGGATGGACCCACACTGAAGGACATTTGGGGACACAAATTAGACTCTATAGGCCATATTTTATATATATATATATATATAATAGAATGCATTAAATTGGGCGAGGGGCGGTAAGGAGAGGTGTGGATATGGGAGGAATTTAAAAACTGTCAAAATATAATGTATAAAAAAATCATAAAAATTCAATAAAACGTTAAAAATATATTTATTTTAAATTACGTGTATGTGTGTGTCTGTGTGTAAGTATGTGTATGTGAGTGCAGGGGCCTGCAAAGGCCAGAAAGGAGTTTCTGATCCCTAGAGCTCGAGTTACAGATGGTTGTAAGTCACATGACAGGGGTGCTGGGAACCAAACTTGGGTCCTCTACAAAAGCCACATGCACTCTTAACTGCTGAGCCAGATCTGTGGCCCTTTAATCCTTTGCATAAAATCATGAAAACTTACGGTTTCTTTCATGTGTCTCTTAAACAGATTTGTAGATATATTCCTAGAGTTTCATACTTATGTGGGATTATGTGAACTGATTTTTAATTTGATGGTTAGTATTGAGGCCCAGAGAGGTATTTTTGTAGGAGGACACACATTTAAAATGAGTCTAGGCTAAATTTCTTATTTTCTTATTCCTATGCTCTTTTATTCTTTACTCTTGTTTTCTCTTGGATAGACAGAATTTTGTAGGCCATTAGGCGCACATGCTGCTGGATCAGGCAAGGAAGTTTCTTGGCACATAAGACTGGCAAAGATGTTACATGGAGTGGATACTTCCCCCAGAGAAGCCTATGAAAGCTTATCCTTTGCTATTCTGAGTATGTGTACAAATATCAGTCCCCCCTTCACCTGCTTGCTTAAAGTGAAGAATATTTTACAATAGCATTACAGAACCAATTCTTATGCTCAGCTTCATCTTCAACATTTTTTATTTATGTTATGTACATGGGTATCTGTGTGAGAGTATGCCATGTGTGTGCAGGTATCTGCAGACATCAGAAGAGGGCATCAGATCTGCTGAAGCTGGAGTTACAGGCAGTTGTGAGCATGAAATGGGTGCTGGAAGCTGGATCCTCTAGAAGAACAGGAAGTGCTTTAACTGCTGAGTCATCTCTCTAGCCCCTGAGCATTACCTTTTGAAACGTAAAAATCCAAAAGGAATGCCAATACAATTGTCACTCCCCAGTATGGTTCTGAAAGGGCCATTGGATTTTAAGATATGTGTTAATATTTTCCAGTTGGTTCATTAGGCAGGCAACCCAACTTTTAAGTTCTATCCAGATACAGAAATTAAT